CGATGTCTTTGATTTCACCCCAAAACCGACCGCTGCCAATCAATGAACCATACATATGTGAAAGAGAAGAGGTCNTATTTTTCAGTTGGAATTACCTTGCTCTGATTGTTTGAATAGGAAAATGTACTTCTTGACGATGTCTTTGATTTCACCCCAAAACCGACCGCTGCCAATCAATGAACCGTACATATGTGAAAGAGAAGAGGTCGGTTTGATTTTCATTTTTTCTGGTTGCCTCCTTTGAGCTATGAGCAACAAGCTTTTTGTTAAACCTTTGTTCTCCAATGGTTGATTATGTCTAACCTGTGTTTGGAATTATAGGTCATTGTACATTATTATGTGCCTCAACTCAGAAAAAGAGGCAACAAATTTTGTTGTCAGGTACTTTTCCAAACTCGTTTGTGTTAGTAAATAGTAATACATGTTTGTAGTCTTTTTTCTTGGTATTTTCCCGCTTAAATAGAAGGGATTGTACAGTTTGACACTTTGACCCCTTTCATCTTTTAAGAAATAAGACTAGGTCTTAGCTGTAGTTTTATTAATTTTTTATGTCTGACTTCAATTGTTTGTATTCTTGAGGGGACCATGAAACCATCATAGTACCTCCAATTAATATTAGCATTAGATTAGACACATTGATTTTGGTGTATGTGGTGACAGATTGGACTACTAGTTTCATAATCAAGTTGTGATCAGTTTTGTTGCTTGAAGTTTCTTATGTTCTTTAACTGCAGAGACTTTACAAGTCACCCAACTCTGCCGAGAGCAAGGCAAAGACTCAAAAGTTAAATAAGCAGCGTGATATCCGAGGTATCTTCTTTTTCTATGCCTTCTCAAGTCGTGGTCTGACTGAAATTTGCTTTAAAAATTTCCTCCCATATTATTTCACAAGTGTTTTAAGAAGTACCATGTCTTGGTCTTTAACAACTCGCTGTCGATTCTCTGACAGGAACTTATGTCCAGTATTTCTGGGAATAAAACTGTCTGCCTTACCCTAATTTCTTTTCGAAATGCCTTTTTGAGAATCATTGAATTAACAGCCATAGTGTTCTTTTCCCCTTTAGTGGGTGATAAATGTGATGAATCATGAAAGTAAAAACACTATAGTTAGGCATGCTCATTCAACTCAGACATTTAACCTTAAAATCCAATTCTGAAATTCTCCATGAGACCAGCTTGCCTGCCTCTTCATTGGTTAGACATTACCTAAACCAGTTTGCTTTATCTTAAAGAACTTGTGCTAATTAATTGTGATACCTCTTCAAATCTGCTAATTAATTGTTCATATAGTCAGAGTTGGTGCTTTTTTGAAGTCTCTTCCAGGCACAACCAGAAGATGTCAAAAATTAATCACTTTTAGTGTTAAACTTCTGGTGCATTTATGTGCAGCTGAGGAGCTTCGACTACCAGATGATTGATGCTGGAAGTGAAATGGCATGGCCGACGCAGTGGTAGTGCATCAAGCAATCAAGACCTGTAGAAAATTTTATTATCGTCCGTCGTCTCTGACGAAATATTAATTTGTATCAATATTCCATTTTTTAGATTCATTTCTGTCATCCTTAGTTTGTGAGGATTCTATTTTGATTTTGGACCCAAACATTATGAATATGCAATTTCCATTTTTTATGATTCTTTTTTATTTTGCTCCATTGTGCTTCTCCAACTCCATTTGTATAGTAGAGAAAACATTACAATTTTTGTCTCTATTCGACCTGTGGGTCTCAGCCAAGCAGACTTATGCAATTATGCTCATGAGTAGAATTTGTATCTGTCTTAAATAAACTACCCACCTTGCAGTATCCTGCCTTTCGTGTGATAATTTGTTTAATTTTTAGCAAACTCATTATAATTTAGATAATTAGATCCATGTCAAGACACATTAAGTACTATTTGTGAGTTTTGTCTAACAAATTGTTATCGTATTCAGTCAAGTTATTCATATGATAGATTTAACGTGTCCACTCATTTATCATTTAAATTCGTTATGACTATTTCTAAATTTACTAATTCCTTGTTGAGTTCGCAAATCATCATTGCTACGCCTAGTCTTCACTTCTTAGATATGAGGAATAATAGTTATCCTAGGAGGAAAAATAAATGAAACCTTGGTATATTCTAATAACAAGTAATGTTTTTAACTGAAAATTGTGCTCCCTTCTGTTTAAAGAGCTGATTGTCAGCCTAGCAGATCAATTGCAAGCCCTGTGTGGAGGGTTAATCCAACAAACCAAGTTTTCTAGAGGTTAAACTGGGTTTCAACCGATCAAGAATGAAAGAGGTTTCAACATCAACTCCATTGGTTAAATCTATTGTTTTGTTAGTAAGAAGTTTTGAATTCGATATTTCACATTTGCTCACCGACATATCTTTAAAGTTTAAACTAACTCGAGTTATGCTAGTCAACTTAGAGTTCGCAAGAGTAATCAATACAAATAGTGGCGGAGGAAAACAGGGGTCGGGCCCACCCTCAATTTTTTTTTTATCTATGTATATTTTATGTATTTTTTTTAATATCTTTAATTCCGTTCACCTTGATGACTTTAGATTAATAAAATTGGATTCATCGGGAGAATAAATAACTTGGTTAATAGACTGGAATAAAAATAGAATGAACTATAGAATATCTTGGAGTCAACAATAAAAAAAGAAATTGAACAAAAAAAAAGTCTAGCCCACTCAATTCTCAAATTTTCTCAAAAAACACTAAAGCAAACAAAAGCATGACGACTTTAATTATTCTTTTGTTTGCATAGTTATTGTATACTTACTTTTGACTCATTTATGTTTAATCAATCTTTTAAGTATCTAACATGATGTAAAAAATAAAATTATATCACATTATTTTTACTTATTAGAGGACAAAATAAAACTTATAGTTAAAGTGTGTCTACCCTAGACCATATTTATGGCTTTGCCACTTGGCACAAACATGGACACACTCTTAAAAAAAAAAGAGGGTAAATTTCATTGATTACCCCTAAATTTAAGTCTTATTTCATTGATACCCCTATAGGCTATATACACGTTTCACAAACTATCCTTGGTGTGATGTGATGATTTATTCTCTTATGAATTACCAAATTTACCTTTGCTCATATAAAATAAGTTTAATTTAAGTTAGGGTAATTAAATAAAATGGGAGTTCTAATAAGGGTATTTTAGTAAAATTACATATTCTATTAGAAAACAAATATTGACATAGGTATGCAGTGATATTTTAGAAATTAGAAGAGGTGTCGGTAAAATTAAAACTCCCCCCCCCCCAAAAAAAAAAAAAAAAAATTGAATTTACCTTTGTTAAATCACTAAACTAACCGGGCGGATGCTTTGATAGTGTTAATAGCAATTGTAGTTTTTACTTTAAATATTGGTTTTTAATACCCCCGAAAACAGAGAGCTGGAGAAGTTCAGTTGGTTAGAGGGTGTGGCCGTTAACCACAAGGTCGAAGGTTCAAGCCCTTCCTCTAGTTTTGGTTTGTTTTTTCTTCCAAATCAGTTCATTTTCTCTCTCTTTGATAGGTCCAAGTTCCTAGTTCCTACATGGTAAGCTAAATCACCCAAAGTTCACAAGAATCACAACACAGTCATGTTTATTCTTATTATTTCTTCAAAGTTACATTCCCTTATGAAAACTGACCAACAAATCCCTTGGACGATGGTTTCAAGGTGATTATATTTATACCTATTGCATCAAGGTGGTTATATTTATATCTATTAAGGTAAAAATCAAACCCGAAGTACGAGAAATATTTTTCTGCATAGATTTGCCCTTTCACTCAACTGCAGCTCTATTAACCAGAGAATTCCATGGCAGTAATGGCATTGAAGGGGCACATTCATTCAATACTGAACTCTAAATCTTCTGTGAATAAAAACTCCATGCTGATAAAGTAATTTTAAAATTTTAAACCACACCAAGTTATGCCAAGATATTATTATGGACTGGATCCTTATAGAATGCAAAGCAGAAGATACCAAATAGACACCATTTGCAGCATACATCCACTCAGGTGTTGGGGATGGATATTGCAAGCATGGTCTCAATGTTGGCAGGTTTTTGCGGTAGTCGGGTGTAGTCATTCATGTGCAGAGAAATTATTTTCAGAATTAGAACTCGCGACGTCCAAGTCACAATGAATAAGATTACACTACGTCAAGGCTAGGGAAAGTTGTGTGTGGTGTGTCTGTGTGTGTTGGAAGACAAACTCCGATCTCACATGTAAGTCCATAAAAATAGAAGGCAAACACCATATGTCGATAAATTTTGAAACATAAAAAGGTTAGTTTGCATGTTAGATGAGATGCATGAGTAATTAACAATTGATAGAGATGTGGAGGGAAGTGAGTCTACATAAGAAGGTGAGTTTTGTACACACATACACAAATTTATAATGAATATTCAAGCAGCTAAATATCATACAGTATCAAATACCAAACCCCTCTTGATTTATTAATTGTAATAGATAAAGGATGACACTTGTTCTCTCTCTCTCTCTCTCTCTCTCTACGGTTAGTTGGAGGACCCACAACAGATAGCGCCCACTGTAACCGTTTTAACTACCTTTCCATTTTCCCATTTCACGGCTAATTTTTTTCTCTGGTCAAAATCCTAACTCAAATTGGGAACCACTCACTCTTCTCCCATTCTTTCGGGATAACGCACACCCAATTAGTTGTGCTTTTCTCTCTAAATTCTCTGTTTTGAGAATATTCAACCCTTTCTCTTGACTGTTTATGGCCTCAACAACTTTTTTTTTATTTTTACTTTTTATCCAAGAAAGAACCCTAATTTTGACTTGCAATCGATCTTTCTTGGGTCTTTAGGACTGTAAATATCCAATTTGTGCATTATCCATTTCACTCCCTCTTCATATATAGCCTGATCCTTTGTGGGTTTCACCTGAATGTTATAGAAAACCACTCCATACTCTCGTGGTTTACTCTTTTACTTACCAGAATTCAGATATCTTATTCTTTCTTTCTTAGTTGAAACCATAATGGCTTCTTTGAAGTCTGGGGTTCTTGTTAAGCTTCTTGAAGATATGAATGTGGAGGATAAGGGTGCAGAAGAAGAGCGAAAATCCGTGTTGTTGCAAATAAGAAGCATAATTCCTGTTTTGGAAGAAGGGAATTTCTGGCCTAATAGAGGGTTCTACTTGAAGGTTGCAGATTTATCTCATGCCTTGTATGTCTCTTTGCCTCAAGAACAGAATGATATGATTTTGAGTAACCAATTACAACTTGGGCAGTTCATATATGTGAAAAGTCTTGAGAGGGCATACCCTGTTCCATTGCTCACAGGTATAAGGCCTGTCAGGGGTAGGCATCCGTGTGCTGGAATTCCTGAAGATATTGTTCCTGTAACAAATTTGGTGAACCTTCTTGAGCCATCTGATATGGAGTCAATTGTCGAAAAGGGTGTAATTTCAGAGAAAAAGATAATTGAAAATTCATCAGATTCAAGAAAATTATTTCGTGGATTGTCTGATTCGGAGGCACTGATAAAAAAGGTTGATCGTGTTGACAAGAGGACTCAAGGAAGGTTGCGTTCTTCGAGTGCTTCAAAAGCTCGTCCTGATGAGCATAGAATTGGCTTGAAGACTAAAAGATGGGATGTTGAGAAGAGAACTTTGAATGTGCTGGGTGGATTTCAAACGAATAGGTCAAGTTCCTTTGACAATGATAGTGATTCTGATGACACGAAATCATCCGTCTCTTCAACCTNTCAGGGGTAGGCATCCGTGTGCTGGAATTCCTGAAGATATTGTTCCTGTAACAAATTTGGTGAACCTTCTTGAGCCATCTGATATGGAGTCAATTGTCGAAAAGGGTGTAATTTCAGAGAAAAAGATAATTGAAAATTCATCAGATTCAAGAAAATTATTTCGTGGATTGTCTGATTCGGAGGCACTGATAAAAAAGGTTGATCGTGTTGACAAGAGGACTCAAGGAAGGTTGCGTTCTTCGAGTGCTTCAAAAGCTCGTCCTGATGAGCATAGAATTGGCTTGAAGACTAAAAGATGGGATGTTGAGAAGAGAACTTTGAATGTGCTGGGTGGATTTCAAACCAATAGGTCAAGTTCCTTTGACAATGATAGTGATTCTGATGACACGAAATCATCCGTCTCTTCAACCAGCATATCAAAGAGAAGAAGCTGGACTGAGTCTGAAATTTTGGAGGTTAAGGAAATCTTTGATTCTTCAGTTGCCAAGCATGAGATCAGACCATTAGCTCGTAGTCGCTGTCGCAGTGCAAATGTAAGCCTCTTGATACTTCGTGTCTCCTAAGCATTTTCCATGCCAAATTAATACAGTATTGGAGAATTAGTGATGCAGACTCGAAATATAATCCGATTCCTATCAAGTACGACTTGGACAAGCACCTGAAATGAAATGGGGCTATATGTATGATTAAATCCCTCACTCTTTAAAGCATGAATAACATTTTTGTTCAAAAAAAAAGTATTAACAACGTTCAGAAATTCAGGTTTGCCCTTTACAGAATCTAGTTAGAATATGTTTTGTCACTTTAGCTAAAAATGCAAGTACAACAACCAGTATGCTGATCGATTTGGCAATACTTTATGGACAAAGTCATATTAAGGCAGCTACTCAGATCACTAATTATTTTTGTGAACTATNAAAAACCCCCCCCCCCCCCAAAAAAAAAAAAAAATTTTGAATTTACCTTTGTTAAATCACTAAACTAACCGGGCGGATGCTTTGATAGTGTTAATAGCAATTGTAGTTTTTACTTTAAATATTGGTTTTTAATACCCCCGAAAACAGAGAGCTGGAGAAGTTCAGTTGGTTAGAGGGTGTGGCCGTTAACCACAAGGTCGAAGGTTCAAGCCCTTCCTCTAGTTTTGGTTTGTTTTTTCTTCCAAATCAGTTCATTTTCTCTCTCTTTGATAGGTCCAAGTTCCTAGTTCCTACATGGTAAGCTAAATCACCCAAAGTTCACAAGAATCACAACACAGTCATGTTTATTCTTATTATTTCTTCAAAGTTACATTCCCTTATGAAAACTGACCAACAAATCCCTTGGACGATGGTTTCAAGGTGATTATATTTATACCTATTGCATCAAGGTGGTTATATTTATATCTATTAAGGTAAAAATCAAACCCGAAGTACGAGAAATATTTTTCTGCATAGATTTGCCCTTTCACTCAACTGCAGCTCTATTAACCAGAGAATTCCATGGCAGTAATGGCATTGAAGGGGCACATTCATTCAATACTGAACTCTAAATCTTCTGTGAATAAAAACTCCATGCTGATAAAGTAATTTTAAACCACACCAAGTTATGCCAAGATATTATTATGGACTGGATCCTTATAGAATGCAAAGCAGAAGATACCAAATAGACACCATTTGCAGCATACATCCACTCAGGTGTTGGGGATGGATATTGCAAGCATGGTCTCAATGTTGGCAGGTTTTTGCGGTAGTCGGGTGTAGTCATTCATGTGCAGAGAAATGATTTTCAGAATTAGAACTCGCGACGTCCAAGTCACAATGAATAAGATTACACTACGTCAAGGCTAGGGAAAGTTGTGTGTGGTGTGTCTGTGTGTGTTGGAAGACAAACTCCGATCTCACATGTAAGTCCATAAAAATAGAAGGCAAACACCATATGTCGATAAATTTTGAAACATAAAAAGGTTAGTTTGCATGTTAGATGAGATGCATGAGTAATTAACAATTGACAGAGATGTGGAGGGAAGTGAGTCTACATAAGAAGGTGAGTTTTGTACACACATACACAAATTTATAATGAATATTCAAGCAGCTAAATATCATACAGTATCAAATACCAAACCCCTCTTGATTTATTAATTGTAATAGATAAAGGATGACACTTGTTCTCTCTCTCTCTCTCTCTACGGTTTGGTTGGAGGATCCACAACAGATAGCGCCCACTGTAACCGTTTTAACTACCTTTCCATTTTCCCATTTCACGGCTAATTTTTTTCTCTGGTCAAAATCCTAACTCAAATTGGGAACCACTCACTCTTCTCCCATTCTTTCGGGATAACGCACACCCAATTAGTTGTGCTCTTCTCTCTAAATTCTCTGTTTTGAGAATATTCAACCCTTTCTCTTGACTGTTTATGGCCTCAACAACTTTTTTTTTATTTTTACTTTTTATCCAAGAAAGAACCCTAATTTTGACTTGCAATCGATCTTTCTTGGGTCTTTAGGACTGTAAATATCCAATTTGTGCATTATCCATTTCACCCCCTCTTCATATATAGCCTGATCCTTTGTGGGTTTCACCTGAATGTTATAGAAAACCACTCCATACTCTCGTGGTTTACTCTTTTACTTACCAGAATTCAGATATCTTATTCTTTCTTTCTTAGTTGAAACCATAATGGCTTCTTTGAAGTCTGGGGTTCTTGTTAAGCTTCTTGAAGATATGAATGTGGAGGATAAGGGTTCAGAAGAAGAGCGAAAATCCGTGTTGTTGCAAATAAGAAGCATAATTCCTGTTTTGGAAGAAGGGAATTTCTGGCCTAATAGAGGGTTCTACTTGAAGGTTGCAGATTTATCTCATGCCTTGTATGTCTCTTTGCCTCAAGAACAGAATGATATGATTTTGAGTAACCAATTACAACTTGGGCAGTTCATATATGTGAAAAGTCTTGAGAGGGCATACCCTGTTCCATTGCTCACAGGTATAAGGCCTGTCAGGGGTAGGCATCCGTGTGCTGGAATTCCTGAAGATATTGTTCCTGTAACAAATTTGGTGAACCTTCTTGAGCCATCTGATATGGAGTCAATTGTCGAAAAGGGTGTAATTTCAGAGAAAAAGATAATTGAAAATTCATCAGATTCAAGAAAATTATTTCGTGGATTGTCTGATTCGGAGGCACTGATAAAAAAGGTTGATCGTGTTGACAAGAGGACTCAAGGAAGGTTGCGTTCTTCGAGTGCTTCAAAAGCTCGTCCTGATGAGCATAGAATTGGCTTGAAGACTAAAAGATGGGATGTTGAGAAGAGAACTTTGAATGTGCTGGGTGGATTTCAAACGAATAGGTCAAGTTCCTTTGACAATGATAGTGATTCTGATGACACGAAATCATCCGTCTCTTCAACCAGCATATCAAAGAGAAGAAGCTGGACTGAGTCTGAAATTTTGGAGGTTAAGGAAATCTTTGATTCTTCAGTTGCCAAGCATGAGATCAGACCATTAGCTCGTAGTCGCTGTCGCAGTGCAAATGTAAGCCTCTTGATACTTCGTGTCTCCTAAGCATTTTCCATGCCAAATTAATACAGTATTGGAGAATTAGTGATGCAGACTCGAAATATAATCCGATTCCTATCAAGTACGACTTGGACAAGCACCTGAAATGAAATGGGGCTGAATGTATGATTAAATCCCTCACTCTTTAAAGCATGAATAACATTTTTGTTCAAAAAAAAAGTATGAACAACGTTCAGAAATTTAGGTTTGCCCTTTACAGAATCTAGTTAGAATATGTTTTATCACTTTAGCTAAACATGCAAGTACAACAACCAGTATGCTGATCGATTTGGCAATACTTTATGAACAAAGTCATATTAAGGCAGCTACTCAGATCACTAATTATTTTTGTGAACTATATTTACCATCAAGTTTTTTGAACTATATTTAGCCACGCATGTTTTGTTTATTGACTTATTTAATTTGGAATTTGCTTTTGCTCATTCCACAATCACAAGTTTGGCTGATTCTCTGGTGATGGTAGGACTCATTCTTAATCATTTTGTATAGACAGGTTTCTCCTGTTCGCAATGTGAGGTATGACAGCTCTGATGACAATTTAAGTTCCACAAGAAGACGAAATACTGTTTCAACTAGGAAATTGGTTAGAAGTTCCAACAAGAGCAAGATTCCAGTTTCAAAGATAAATGGTGAGGGGACCTCATGTCCAGTGGCAATAAGCAGTTCAGTCAACAATAGAAAAGGGGCAGAAACTAGAATTTTATGGGACTCTCTCCCATCGACCTTGGTGAAGCTTGGCAAGGTACAAAACTATATTCATGGGACTTGGATGTATGGGCACTCATATTTTTACTGTGTTAAAATCCTTCTATCTGCACTGCAGGAGGTTACAAGGCAAAGAGATGCTGCTCTGCTTGCAGCTGTGGAGGCTTTGCAAGAGGCCTGTGCCGCTGAGAGGTTGCTCAATTGCCTAAGGTGAGGAAACATGTTATTAATTGGCATGGATCAGATTCTCATTCGTTTTTCTCTTATTTGTGGCATGATCTAGCTTATTAAATGAGACACAAAAACTGTGGATCCAGAATCTAGAAAATAGTTTTTAGTTCGCTAAATTAGGTATTCGAGTATCTTTATTTCTATGCTGAGGGTTTTGGATGCTAGAATGTGTTGTAGTTTGTGCTCTACACGCATAGACTTACCAGGTTAGTGCATTATGTCAGAGACATGTTATGTAATCTGCACACAAGTAGACTTACTATGTTGAGTGAAATAAACTTCAGGTTCTGTTTTTTCCTTTGGCTTGAGATCCTAGCTAATCAACATGCACTATTTATCGCCATGCATTATCCATTGTTTTGGGTGGAGAAGTGCAATGGGATCATACAGAAATTGTCTTGTAATTCTATGTACTTCACTGTGCAACTATTTCTGCGACGCATGATAAAGAGAACTGGAAGTACAGTTTTCTTTTTTGGTTGAATCTTTGACTTAATTGATAGATCCTGCATTCAAATTGCAACATATTACCAATTCTGAATATTATCTTCCTGGAAGAATACCAACTTGGACCTGAATTATGGTTGGTGGAGGACACGGTTCCAATACAGTGGTACAATGCCCCTAGGACTTGACCATGGGGGCATAAGGTTCACTCACTAACTAACCTAAATTAGATGGACGCTGTGTGTGTGTGTGGGAGGAGTAGGATAGTCAAGTAGCAGATATTCTGAAGAGTTACTGTGTTTGAATGCAGTTATTAAGCTTGATATGAGAGATGGAATTCTTTAACAGAGGGGAGATTCTTTTTCCAACCTTAGGAATTGCATAGACAGATTTCAGGTGGTCTAAAAAAGGGAGCCCAGTGCACGATTAGAAAAATAGCTCTTATGATATACCCGGTAGTGCAAACTTATGTGGAAACCAGAAAAATCTAGATTCCTAGTTGAGTGAGGATATTGGGTAGTATCATGGGCAAAACAGGAGGATCCCATATGCAAAATGAATCGCTCACTTCAGTTAATCATCACAAAAATGATGCTAAGAATGCCTTTTTGAGAAGGCAGGGGGATGGTGGTTTGTGATTTGCTAAAATACAATTTTCAACCCTTAGAAGTGATAGCATTGCTCATACAAGTGCTGCCAGAATGCGAGGAAGACAACGATACGTATGGAGTAGAAGTTCAGCTAAACGAGGGTCATGGAACTAATTCAAGCAGATGGGATGAGGCCTCACTCAAAGAGTTATCTACACCAGCCAGCACCATCATATGCTCTTAATTTTGGAATCCATCAATTGACATTTTTCAGTGCTATTTTGATTTCTATGCGGGATGTTGCAAACACATTCACACGGATATTTACATTTATGTCATAATTCCATGTCCATCACCTGGATTTGCTAATCCATCTATTTCCATATTTTTCCAGCACATACTCGGAGTTTCCATTAGCTGAAGGGAATGATCTGCAGCCATATGTTGATAAGTTCTTTGATCTCCAAGATGAATTAGCTCACACAAGACTAATAATGCAGTCATTGACAAACATCAATCCTCTAAGAACATCAGGAATCGATTCTAGCTGCACTGGTTCAGTCAAGGAAGCCCTGAAGCTAGCTGTTGAAAGAAAGAAGAATGCTTCTTCTTGGATTAAATCTGCTGTAGCAGTTGATCTTTCCCCATGCTTTACGGCCCTTAAACCCATGCCTATTACTACGGATGCTACCAACGCCCCAAAGAAATCAAGTACATCAACTCACGGTACTAAACCGATGCTTTCATGTAGCATTACGAAGCAGAACAAGAATGGTGAGTTCCCACTTGCATTGGCAGGCAACATGGATGATCAAGCGGACTGGAGGAGGGGAAGTTTGTGTGCAGCTGCTAATCTGGCTTCTTCCTTGCAGGATGAATGTAGAAAATTTTTCTTGGGTTATGTAGAGAAATATTTAGATGAGGTTGAGAGCAAAACATTGTCAATGGGCTCGGATAGTCAGATAGCTGGGAGAATGTACAAGGTCAAGAGAGTGAATGACTGGTTAGATGTGATTTCGAGCCAAGAGGCCAATCATCCAAAGGATGGATGCAAAGAAGGTTGTGCATTGGATGAGTCTGAAATAGAAGCTTGTGGAAGAGTGAGAAACCAAATATATAGGATCCTATTGAAGCATGTTGAGAGGAGTGCCAAAGCTTTGGAAAATATAAACACATCCGATTAAGGTTGAACATATGGAGTAGAATAACCAGAACTTCATTAAATTCTGTGAGACAAAATTCAAAAAAAAATTAACTAATTGAACTTGAGAACANGATGGATGCAAAGAAGGTTGTGCATTGGATGAGTCTGAAATAGAAGCTTGTGGAAGAATGAGAAACCAAATATATAGGATCCTATTGAAGCATGTTGAGAGGAGTGCCAAAGCTTTGGAAAATATAAACACATCTGGTTAAGGTTGAACATATGGAGTAGATTAACCAGAACTTCATTAAATTCTGTGAGACAAAATTCAAAAAAAAACTAACTAATTGAACTTGAGAACTNATTAAATTCTGTGAGACAAAATTCAAAAAAAAATTAACTAATTGAACTTGAGAACTTAGCTAACTAATCCATTATTCATAATCTCCTGATGATTCTTAGTGCACATAATCTTGTATGTAATATGCTCTGCAATCTAGTCTTATTTAGTACTATGCTATTCAATCCACAGATATTGTATTTTTATTGTTTTAGTTCTCTTAATATTATATTCTCAGTGGAACATTGATGAAATTAGTTGCCTATGAAAAAACCAATATTCTTCTGCTTACAGCTTTTTGTAAGTCTGGTTAGTTGAGCTTGCATGGTCCTCGCGTAAGAATCACACACACAAATCGTGAAATAGTCGGGATTTTGCCCGTTAAAGACAGAATACCATAGGTTTTTGCCTTGATTATCTATTTTAGACCAGTTTTCTTATGTGCCCTATTTGCTCATCCTCCTTTGTCAGATAAGTCTATGGTACCAAATTATCCACATTCATCAGGTGACACAGACCTTGTCATTTCAAAATTTTGTGGTGGACCATTATTTGCATTTACATAGATGTACTTAGAGAAATAAATACATATGCATACATACATCAATACACACACACACACACATATATGCATTTAATGCCGTAGACAGCTTCATTTAGTGTAGCTTATTTATAAGAGGCCATCCACGAATAAGTGTAGTTGTTGCAGCTGATGGTTTTTTTGACCAACGAAAGGAAATTTGGATTTCAATTCCTTCCGGTATATTTTTCTTCAATTTCTGTCAATGTTATCAGGGAGATGCTAATTCTTTCTCCTTTTTTACCTACATATCTCATCTACTGCTTTTTGTTTTTTTTTTTCCTTCAATTTTGTATATGGTATAGGGGAGATGCCAACTCTCTCTCTCTCTCTCTCTCTCTCTCTCTCTCTCTCTCTCTCTCCTTCCTCTTCATATATTTGGCTCTACATACCTTTGGTTCACTTTAGTGCATGCACTTTCAACACATGGTTGCATAGTCCATAGAGACATACATGCACCAAATTATCCAAATGTAGAGGATTGTGGATGAGATGTATAGCATCTATCAGAACACTCAACTACTATTGTGGCCAAAGAATCAATAATGTTACACTGATCGATTTTTTCATTAATTTTTTTTATCTATTCTCCATAATTGTTGCATTAGTAAAACTTATTAGGCCCCACTAATCATTCAATATCAATGGTTGTCATATTAATTGGTAAGAAAAGTTAATAAACAAGATCGAGTGTTGGTATAGCCAAAGTATAAATCAATAGTCTTATTAAATATTATTTTATGTGAGAAAGAAAAAATTTTAACCAAAAAGGAAAACAAGTGAATTTAAATGAGGATGCAGTCCAGAACTTTGTCTATGTTCTATTTTGAAGCCCTTGAGAAAATAATTTTCTGATTTTTTTTTGTTATTCAATGTACGTATATAATTAGAATTAATCACCAATTACTAAATCTAAAATATTTTGGGTAAAATTTTGGTCACGAGTTATCTAAAATATTTTTTATCCATATTTATGTGTTACGTGATAAGTTTATAATAAATTTTTTTTATTATTATTTTGGACGATGAGGGGCTGCATATAAATATTTTCAATATTTCAGAGACTAAAATGATACAACTAAAATATTGAAAATTAAAATGAGATAAATTTTATATTTTGGGACCTACAATGCGACAAACCCTTTTTTTTTTATTATGAGACTTTTTCTTTTCTTGAGAAAATATTCAAACATTTTAGAATATCTAATTAGTGTTTTTGGTATCATACTACTTGTTCTAAAAGAATCATACACTAGACACATCTCATATAGAAATTTGGGTGAGATGATGGTATGTGGATAATTATTTTTTGTCATTACACATTACTCAATTGCAGACTGATGAGACACGTATTTCGGAAATGATTTTAAAAGGTTATCTTTCTATATAATAGCCTTATCCTCTAACACTAATTAAATATTCCCAAATGGTAGTTAGATCATAAAACTTTCCATTTTGAGCTTGAGGGTTTATCACTGTCCTAGCCCTTGGGATTTCCTCCAATAAGAAAATTTTATGCTAAGTTCCATTTNCAATTACTAAATCTAAAATATTTTGGGTAAAATTTTGGTCACGAGTTATCTAAAATATTTTTTATCCATATTTATGTGTTACGTGATAAGTTTATAATAAATTTTTTTTATTATTATTTTGGACGATGAGGGGCTGCATATAAATATTTTAAATATTTCAGAGACTAAAATGATACAACTAAAATATTGAAAATTAAAATGAAATAAATTTTATACTTTGGGGACCTACAATGCAACAAACCCTTTTTTTTTTCTTATGAGACTTTTTCTTTTCTTGAGAAGATATTCAAACATTTTAGAATATCTAATTAGTGTTTTTGGTATCATACTACTTGTTCTAAAAGAATCATACACAAGACACATCTCGTATAGAAATTTGGGTGAGATGATGGTATGTGGATAATTATTTTTTGTCATTATTCATTACTCAATTGCAGACTTATGAGACACGTATTTCGGAAATGATATTAAAAGGTTATCTTTCTATATAATAGTCTTATCCTCTAACACTAATTAAATATTCCCAAATGGTAGTTAGATCATAAAACTTTCCATTTTGAGCTTGAGGGTTTATCACTGTCCTAGCCCTTGGGATTTCCTCCAATAAGAAAATTTTATGCTAAGTTCCATTTTTTTTTTAACAAAGTCTTGAAAGAGACAGAAATGTCCATTCATTTATTCATGAAAAAATTATATTCTAACCACTATGACATTTTTTTCACTTTTTGGTTTAAGTGATAATTTTTACGTCGTTCTATTTATTAACAATTGTCGCAATTTTAATAAAAAATATTTTATTTTACTTCCAAACCATATAATATTTTTTTGTAAATTTGTCCCAACATAGTGGCAATATTCGCCAAAAAAAAATGGCAGATATTTACGCTTAGGAAAATGTGAAATAATTTAAGTATTTCGAGAGGTAGTATGAAAAATTCAATAGTTCAAGACAAAGTGTACTTAAATGTAAATTTAGGAGGTTAAAGTGTAATTTATCCTTTCTTCATGTGGGAGTTTAACTACGTTCTCAAACTCAGGTCACTATCACTGAATCTTACTTAACACACACGAAGGAACCGAAATTATCGGAAATTTCCTCATCAATCTCCCTCTCAGTCACACACAAGCAAGCAGACACGCACATAATCCCCCCATTCTCTCTAAACTATCTGGAAATGGAGCGTCAAAGATCAATATTTACAATCTTTCTAGGGTTTGTGTTGCTCGGTTTGTACCGATCAGCAATGGCTCGGTTCGTGGTGGAGAAGAACAGCTTGACAGTGACGTCTCCAGATAGTATTAAGGGCAATCATGACAGTGCCATTGGCAACTTTGGGATACCTTCGTACGGAGGTAGTATGGCTGGGACTGTGGTGTACCCAAAAGAGAACCGCAAGGGTTGTAAAAGTTTTGACGATTTTGGGATTTCTTTTAAGTCCAAGTCTGGAGCTTTGCCCACTTTTCTTTTAGTTGATCGTGGAGGTAAGGTACCCTTTTCGTAAATTTGATAGATTTTCTTGTTTCTCTGCTTATTGTTGATGTGTGAGCTTTATTGGATTATTTTTGGAGGTACCATTTTAGAGGTTATGATTGATTATGGCTGTTTGTTTCTTCTTTGTGAGTTTAATAAACATTGTTGGAGGTACCTTTTGTTGATTTTGATTAAATTACTTCTTATATTGCTGCTGTTCTCAATGATGTTTAAGGGTGATTTGGTGATCCTTGGAGGTATCTTTTTGTTGGTTTTCAGTAATTTAGTTGTTTCGTTTGCTCCTTTTGAGGTTAATTGGTTATTTTGGAGGTACCCTTGTTTTTAAATTTGTTTAAATAGCCTTTTTTTTTTTTTTTTTTTTTGGGGGGGGGGGGTTCTTTCTGAGGTTAATTGGTGGTCTTCGAGGTGCCCTTCCATTGATATTGATCAAAGTAGCCATATTTCGCCCTTTCCAAGGGATGCTGATGATTTTTGAGGTTCTGCTGCCATTTATTTTCACTACACGATGCTGCTCTTTGTTCCTTTTTGAGGTTACTTTGTGATTTTGGGGGTGTCCTTTTATTAATTTTGGTTAAAGTAGCTGTTACTTCGTCTGTATGAGTTTAATTGGTGATTTTGGAGCATTATTTTATTAAATCACATTTATGAGATNGAGCTTGAGGGTTTATCACTGTCCTAGCCCTTGGGATTTCCTCCAATAAGAAAATTTTATGCTAAGTTCCATTTTTTTTTTTAACAAAGTCTTGAAAGAGACAGAAATGTCCATTCATTTATTCATGAAAAAATTATATTCTAACGACTATGACATTTTTTTCACTTTTTGGTTTAAGTGATAATTTGTACGTCGTTCTATTTATTAACATTTGTCGCAATTTTAATAAAAAAATATTTTATTTTACGTCCAAACCATATAATATTTTTTTGTAAATTTGTCCCAACATAGTGGCAATATTCGCCNTGTTTTTTTTTCTGGTTTTTGAGGTACATTTTTCCCCTGTTTTGAATATATTTAGATATCTTTTTCCCTGTGTATGTTGATGTTTGAATTAGTCTGAGGTATCTTTTGCGATTTTTCCATTCATTATACCTGATTTTGCACTCTTTCTTGTTGTTTTTGGTTTGTGATAGCCAGTGTACCCTTTCTTTTAGAGTCTTGACTCTTATCCTCCTAGATTAAACTATTATCTGGGAAGTTGGGTTGTCTAGTGAAGTAAAATGGTTTACAATAAATATGATTTGTTCATGCTGGACTTGNTAATTTAAGTATTTCGAGAGGTAGTATGAAAAATTCAATAGTTCAAGACAAAGTGTAATTAAATGTAAATTTAGGAGGTTAAAGTATAATTTATCCTTTANGAGGAAAAGTGCATGAACTTAGTCTTGCTTTACCTTTTTTTTTTTAATATCTTATTGAATTGGGATGATGGGATGATTTTTATCTGTATATTAAAATGTGATGTTTCTTGTAGATCACATCTTCTGTCCTATACAGTTTATTGTGATTTAGCACTTTTTTCCCCGTATGTCGAGGGAGGAACTTATATTTTTGAATCCTGTTCCAGTAGCTATTTTTCCCACTATAATGATGAATTTGGTGCTTCATTCTTTGGCTTTCCAGATTGTTTTTTTGCATTGAAGGTGTGGAACGCCCAAAATGCTGGTGCTTCTGCTGTTCTTGTAGCAGATGACATTGAAGAAGCATTAATAACCATGGACTCTCCAGAAGAGGGACGTTCATCTGCAGAATATATTGAGAACATAACTATACCATCTGCACTAATTGAAAAAGGTTTCGGTGAAAATTTAAAGAAAGCAATCAGTGGTGGGGATATGGTAAATGTGAATCTTGATTGGAGAGAAGCTGTTCCGCACCCGGATGATCGTGTGGAGTTTGAGTTATGGACTAACACCAATGATGAGTGTGGGACTAAATGTGATATGCTGAAGGAGTTTGTGAAAGATTTCAAAGGTGCAGCGCAGCTTCTTGAGAAAGGTGGATATACTCAGTTCACACCCCATTATATAACTTGGTATTGTCCTCAGGTATTCACTTTGAGCAAACAGTGCAAGTCCCAATGCATTAATCATGGTAGATACTGTGCTCCTGATCCTGACCAGGATTTCAGCAGTGGTTATGAAGGAAGAGATGTGGTTCTTGAGAACTTAAGGCAGTTATGTGTGTTTAGAGTGGCAAATGAGACCAAAAAGCCATGGGTTTGGTGGGACTATGTGACTGACTTTCAAGTTAGATGTCCCATGAAGGAGAAGAGATACAACAAAGAATGTGCTGACAATGTTATTAAATCTCTAGGTAATGTTTTGCCACTGCATTTCATGTTATGAAGTATACCAGTCATCGTTGATAAGTGATAGCTGTTAATGTTGCTTCTGCATAGGGCTTGATTTGAAAAAGATTGAAAAGTGTATGGGAGACCCAAATGCTGATTCTGACAACCGTATTCTGAAAGAAGAGCAAGATGCTCAAGTATGTTTGTCGAACATACATTTTGTTGGACAGTTTTTAGCAACTTGGCTGTTTGAATTTGGTGTTGCCAATATATTGGCGTAAACTATCTGACAAGCATAAGTTCTGTAGGTTGGGAAAGGATCACGAGGTGATGTAACCATATTGCCTACCCTTGTTATCAATAATCGACAGTACCGAGGTCCGTCTGTGTACTTGCGTTTTTTTAGTTGATAAATCCTTGTGTTTCCTTTCTAAAGTATTTTCTTCCAGGCAAGTTGGAGAGAGGTGCTATTCTGAGGGCCATCTGTTCTGGTTTTGAGGAAACTACTGAGCCAGCTGTTTGTTTGCATGGTGGTAAGTTACTGTTCTGAGTTTAGACTAAATGTTCAAAATTTGATTGTCAGGGACAATGTGCTTTACTAATGTCACGAGTCTTGAGAATATTTTCTTTTCTCCAGATGTTGAAACAAATGAGTGCTTGGATAATAATGGTGGCTGCTGGCAAGATAAAACAGCCAACATCACTGCCTGCAAGGTACTTGGCATAACTGGCTGGATTTCTATGCATTATAATGTGTGTTGTCCTAACAGTTGTTATTATGCATTCAGGATACATTTCGTGGGAGAGTGTGTCAGTGCCCTCTGGTTGATGGTGTGCAGTTTAAGGGTGATGGTTACAGCTCTTGTGTAGGTAAATTAATGGACTGATCTGTTTATTTGTGTGAAACTAGCTAAGATACTAATCTCTTCTAGAAGCGTTCTTAATGATCTGGAACAAATGGTCACCAAAGGCAGTCAAAAATGTGAATGTGGACATCTTAACAGTCCATGTATTTGCTGTGTCTACTGTCTGCACTTGTCAAAAGAATATAAGGAAGATCTCTTTCTTGTATGGATATGGCCATATGAATCTATTCAATCTATACCTTCTTTGCAAACTATAAAGCCACATGATGAAACATTTTCAAGAGATCTTGACCATCTAATTCACCTTTAACATGTTGTTTGGACAATGAAATCTTTTGGAAAATTCTATTGTTTGTGGACCATTTAGGATAAATTTCACACATCATTTAGACAATGACACTTTTGGAAAATTCTAGTGGCTTCCAAATTGAATTGTTGAAAATATTTAATGTAAATTGATTGCCATCTAAGTGGCTCATCTTTTTCTTAATCATTCAATACTAGACATCAGTAGCATGAGAATTTACATTTGCAAGGTTCAGATGCAAGTAATAGTTTTGTGACAAATCACATATAGGCAGTTGTGCCTATATTTTTTATACATTCATCCTTCTTGTTTTAATATAAATGTGTTTGATTTTACACTTGTCATAGTCATGTCCATGAACCTTGATCTGGTGTACCTTTCCTTTTCCAGCAAGTGGGACTGGGCGTTGCAAAATCAATAATGGAGGCTGTTGGCATGAAACACGAGATGGACGCACCTTCTCTGCTTGTTTGGTTGGTGACCATTTCACAATTTGTTTTTATTCCCCCATACCTATTTGAGCAATTAGATGCAGATGCAAGGTTCTCAATTATGATGCCAACAGGATAACGACGACAGTAAATGTACATGTCCTCCAGGATTTAAAGGCGATGGTGTCAAAATCTGTGAAGGTAAGATAGCTTGCATGACTAGCTTGTCATATTTTGGAGTTAGGCCCACGAAAACAATGTTAGTAATCAATGGAGAGTTCCAAAATATAAGCCTAAATTTGCATTTGCCTGGAAATCTTGGGTTATGAGGCCCATGTTCTTGTATCAAGAGTTTGACAGAATATCTCCTTTTTTGTATTTTTTAGGCGCTAGTGCTTTTTCCTGTGGAGTGAAAGTAAGGTGCTAGCACCATTTAGGGTGAACTACAAATTACCTCCATTGTTTTGTTCTTTTAACATCCCATAGTTAGGAAACCTACACATCACTGCAGTTCTGGACCAAATTGAAACCATTAGGATTTCCATTAATTTGTACCGATGACTCATTTAGCTTGCATCATCTCCCTCACACTTGCACACCCAAACAGAGCCCCCGCACACAGCATATACAAACTCTCTCTCTCTCTTTCCCTCCTACGCTTTGGATTCAACTGAAATGTGGTAAACTGATGTTGGACCTTAATCAAAGAAGCTTCTAAAACTACAAAACTGCCCATGACTAAATGCAGAATTCAACCAAAACTTATTATCGGATTTCAACAGAAACGGTATCTTTTGGAACCAACCAGTTCTTCCATTGCGAATTAAATTAGCATTCAAACAAGTTGCAGAGAAATCTTGTAGTTTGAGCGTACGTACCTCAACCTCAAAAATGATGTCTCGCTTTCACCAAGCTTTAACAGCTATTCTTTGAACAAACTTGCAAAATTGGCTGCTAAAGTTGTTAGAAACAGGAAATCAGCTCCTGTAGAAAAGCTGCCGCAAGTTGAAGAAGTGGAAAAAGAGAGGAACAGNTTCTTTGAACAAACTTGCAAAATTGGCTGCTAAAGTTGTTAGAAACAGGAAATCAGCACCTGTAGAAAAGCTGCCGCAAGTTGAAGAAGTGGAAAAAGAGAGGAACAGTAATGATGATGAAAATGTAAGGAAATGAGTTTGAGTTCGCTTTTGTTTCCAGAGAGTCTGATTCGTCACTGATTTCAGCAGATGAGATATTGTATAATGGTCAGATTCAACCTATGTTTTCAATTTTCAACCGTTGGTGTTAGGTGACCTTCAAAGTGAGATTTCCGAGTCTTTGGAGCCTCAGACCTGGTCTTGGCTTCTGTTGCAGAAGCTGCTGAAAGAAGAATGCGATCCTTCATTGTGTTCCTTTGAGTACAGCTTCATATTGAGTGTTAGACAATAAGAAATTTAGAACCATCCTGCAGGATTTGATGAGTTTAACAGGGGACCACAGAGGGCCAGCTAGAGAGATGGAGGAAGAAGTGAGGGATGAACTGGTAGTTGTTAAACGATGAATGGGTGGATAGGAACTGCAAATTTGGCTTATATTTGGACCGAAAGGGTAGCTTGTTCATTGGAAGAGTTAATTCTGGAGGAAAAACTTTACCCCTATGCCAAAAGCACCTTTTGGGCGCGTGTGACCTGTGGGAGTTGTAAACTTTCTTATATTTGATACGGTTGCTGATTTCCTACTAGTTGTAGTTGAACTGTTATGAATTTGATGCAAATCAGCCGTTATCAACTCTAAGAAACTGCATTTGAAAGCATTGAAATTGTCTTAAGGTTGTAGTGATATGTTTCCTGTTAATGAGTTGAACAGAAGTAGAGCTGATTTTAAAGTTGAATTAAATAGGCAGATTTTCTATGAAACTCAATTTCACATTAAAAGATTGCAGGAAAGACGCTACCTCTATGTCAATAAAATTTTTGATTTGAGATTGAACTCAACTCAATGAATTTTCAGTCTCAACTACTCCTGGAAAATTTCCGTGTTGACTCTCTGATCTTACATAATTTATCTTACTGTGCAGATATTGATGAATGCAAAGAGAAAAAAGCTTGTCAGTGCCCCGAATGCAGCTGCAAGGATACTTGGGGTAGCTATGAATGCACTTGCAGTGGGGACCTCCTCTATATGAGGGACCATGATACCTGCATAAGTGAGTGCACCACTGTGGTTCTTTTAGCGTTCTAAGTTCTAACATGCATACTGTTGCTGGTTTTGATGTCACTTATTGTCATCTGCAGGTAAGAGGGCTACCGAAGTAAAGTCTGCATGGGCTGCTGTTTGGGTCATTCTGCTTGGTTTGGGTATGGCTGCTGGTGGAGCATACCTTGTGTACAAATATAGACTGAGGGTAAGTTTGGTGCATGTTTTTTCTTGGTTAATCTTGATAAGCAAGGTTATTATGTTTGAATCTTTAAACTACCAGATAGTGGTGGTCATAACCTTACTGCTATATCACAGGCTTATAAGTGTCTCGTGCTTTATTGGGGTGTTTTCATTTGCATGTGTGTGGAGGAAAAAAGGGGGGGGGGGGGGGGGGGGTTTGAAGACCCACCCATACCAATGGGGAAAATGAATCTAGAAGAGGGCAGATTAAGCTTCATAAAATTGAGCTTTGTGCAAATCTAAAAATTAGATGATGTTACTAAACCACATTTTTAGGGAGCGATCTAGTCCTTTGGTGTCTTTATAAGTTGATAATAGAGGATACAAATCCGAAACTATGTCAGGTTTTAAATCTAATTTTATTTCTATCATTGCACTTTCAGTCGTACATGGACTCAGAGATCAGGGCTATAATGGCGCAATACATGCCCCTGGACAGCCAAAATGAAGTTCCAAATCATGTGGGTGAGGATCGTGCTTGAAAAACCAAGCTCTATCCTGCTGAGGGTTTTGAAGGTAGATTTGAGATATTCGTCCATGTCTGATTGAACCAAAACAGAGATTGATTCTGGGCTGATTGAAAAGGATTATTGCTGAAATCTGTACGATCTCTATATCCAAAACAGTGAAAGAGCTTGCCCTTGCCCCGACAATCTTTGTTGCATAGAGCAAAATTTGTATCAGACTATAGTGCTAACTGAATAATATGTATGTAATTTGTCCACGATGCAATGCTCTTTGATAGCCCTTTTGGGACCTAGTGTAGTTTCAGATTGGTAGGTTTAGTTTTTATCTACACCAAGTTGTTTAATTTACAGAATTGGCTCGTTGGTGAAATTACATTTAAGTGGACATGGACTTTTCAGTGTTAAAAGCAAGTTAAGGTTGAAATATTGTAAGTGATAATCATGTACAGTAGGGTTTATACCAGTTGTCATATTCATGAAATTGATATGCATTTGTTTGGTTGATATCATTGATACGGGGACAGGCTTTGTTGCGGTTGTTCTATTATAATCTGGACATTCTGAGTTTTGATGTCGAAGCAATTTCTTCATGAGTGAAGTTCATGGTTGTTAGTAGGGAAAGGGTTGTTTTTTCTTTTTGTTTACATGATAGCTATGTTTTTTCTCAGTCTCTCTTCTTGAAGGATAGTGTCACGTACATCTAATTCTCTCCAATTCCCACAATGGCGGGAGCGAGCACTGGATACGTCTTTTATATGTTTCTTGTTTGGTTAAAGTAAAGATTAAGTCTTATTTTTGTCTATGATCATAAACTTTGGAGAAGCAATTTGCAAGCTTATTAATAATCATTTCTTTTAGTTGCTCGAAAATGAAAAATATATGATTATTTGAATTGGCTTCCTAACAGGGGCCCAGTCTAAAATCTGTTCCAATGACCAATGAAACGCTGCCACGTCCAACAAACATCATTTTTATTTGCTTTGACGTATATAGTTCTGCTCATTCAGAATATATATATATATATATATATATATATCCATTTTTAGAAATTAACTAAGTAGTTTCATTTTATTCATGCTCAATACCAACCCCAGTCAATTTACTATTCATGTCGGTGAATCATGTAATTTTTAAATTCATATCACGTATTGGTCAATTCTAACTTGTTAATTTTGTGTTGAATTTGCATTGTGTCAAAAATCTTTTTTTTACTAATTCAAGTGAAAACTTTAGGAGTTATATTGCACCCAAACTCAAGATTTTCATAAGTAAAATGGGCTCATATGAATTAAGGGTGTTAAACGAGTTGAGCTTGATACGCCTTGGTATGCTTAGACTCAACTCGCATTGTTGAAGCTACTCAAATTCAGCTCAATCTTGAATATCAAGTTTAATTTTTTGTTTAGGCTTGGCTCGATTTTGAAATGAGCAACTGTGTTTTAGTGCTGAGTTTGAGTCCGAACTTGGGCACGAGCTCAGGTATCTGGAAAGAAGAAAGAATAAGGATGTGAAAAAGAAAAGCCAGTCCTAGATCTTATCTGAGCTGCTAGGGAGAACTGTGAGAAGTCAACCCTACTACGAGAGGACTGGGTTAGGCCAACCTATGGTGTACCGACTGTTTGAGACTCCACCCGGTAAAGCCGAGCCATTATATTGATTATGCAAAAAATAGCTTTAGAGGCCCTTACAGCATAATACAAGTCTCACTACTAACTTTGAGCCCCAAACCAGTCGATCACAACATCTCAGTTCGTTTAACAGCTTCAGTATCAATGACTGTTGATCACTGGCGCAACTACACACCCCAGCATGCCAGTAAAACTTAAGTATCAAATAAACGCTATGAGATCATTACAAATTTGGGGCACATGCACACCATGCATCCCCTCCCTTCCCCCCCCCCCCGCC